TAGGCTCAGAAATGTGTGATAGAGAGGACACTCATGTGTGAGTTGCCTTGGAGGTCACCGTCACACAGAAGGTGAGTGACCTCGCAGACCAGGTGATGGCCAGGATTAGAACCCAGGTTCCCAGATCCGGGTCTGGCGCACTTCTTATCACACCCTGGGCCTTGGCTGGTCTTCCTTCCACTCAATTGTTATTCATCTCAAAAAAGTAAAACCACAAAAGGAACCTCTCAACCCTTTCTGGTGGGCTGAGCAACTTCTCAGTGAAAACAAGGAGCTATTATTTCACAAGGTCAGGAACTATATTTAACATCACTAGGGCCTTAGATCGTGTTGTCATTACAATCAATCAAATTCACAGCATCCTCTGGCAGCTGCGCTGGTTCAGAGGCATTTCGTGGAAGAGGTGGAGAAATGACAATGGGATTATTCTATATGTGCATTATTCATATATTTCTTTCCCAACTTTTGCATGAGAACAACGATAGCTATCTTTCCAGTGAGGAGAAACCAGGTTTTAACATTTTACAGTTTCTTTCTTATGTCAAAACTTCTGAAAAGAAACAGATATGCAAAGTTGGCATTTTCCCTTAATACTATCTCTAACAATGAAATGGAAGAAGTACTGTGCTTTTACAAATGCTATACGTGTCCTAGGAGAAGGCTGTGTCTACACGCCATCTTTGTATTGATCAAATGACGTCATGTACATTCCCCAGTGCTTTTGGCGATTGCTTTATCTATATTAGCATACATTCTGAAATTTGGTCATGGTATGCTCCTTAGAACCCTAGTATTTTATTATCCAGATTCATAAATTACACAGTCTTTAGATGAAAAATGCATATCTCAGAATCACTCCAGCTTTCTATATGCCCCCAAGAGAGTAATACTAAATGTATCAGATCTGAAAGAGTGAGGAGGATGAATGCTCTACAGGAACTCACCAAGGCCTCGGAGGCTTAATGTAGATAATTCTTACATTCTGAGGCTTTGAACTTTGGTTAATGATTATTAGAGATGAAAGAGAGTGTGGCTTACCATGTTCCCTGAAGGTTTGCTTATTAAGTTCCAAAGCCAGCAGGTAGACATCTGAAACAAGGCTACTTGGTCCTCAACTTCCCCTTCTTTTCACAGTCAAGAACTTTTCAATTTGCTTTGGTTTTATATTTGAGTCTCTGCTCAAACTTCCCAATCCTTACTTTTTCTCCCCCCAGCACCACTTGCCCTATTTCCTCCAAATCAAAGTACCTTTTCCTGGTTTCAGATGCCCCCGGTGCAGACCTCTTTCCCTAAGCTAAATCAAAGCATGGTACCCAGATGTCTACACATATTCTATCCCCTCTATCAATAACATTGATGGCTTGTCAGCTGATATTTTTAAAAAGTGTCCACTACAAGTTAGGTGCTGTATTAGTTTCCCCTCAACCTCCTCCCCAAAGAGAAATCCCTGTTCTTTTGGACTTTATTTATAGGAGGGGGCGGGGAAGACAGCAGAACCCACTCAAGGGAGTAGTGGGTATTGATAAGTGCAGAGCAGAACAGATAAGGGGGTTAGGGGAGGCCTGAGTAGGTGGATTCTTTTCAACATAGGTGAGACAAAACAAAAGGCCTCACTCAGAGGGGAAATCTGAGTCATACCCAGAGCATAGTAAGGGGGTGAGCTATGCGAGTGTTTAGGGGAGAGGAAGAGCAAGTACAAAGGTGGCGATGGGCTTGGTGTCTTCTAAAGAGAGGGGAGCCCTGCCCAGCTGGGGCAGAGGGAAGGGGGACTGACAGGCAAGAGGGAGTCAAATCTTGTGATGGTGCAGACCAGTGACTTTCAAATCCTGTGATCATGCAAGCCAGTGACTTTCAAATCCTGTGATGGTACAAACCAGTGACTTTCAAATCCTGTGATGGTGCAAACCAGTGACTTTCAAATCCTGTGATGGTGCAAACCAGTGACTTTCAAATCCTGTGATGGTGCAAACCAGTGACTTTCGAACTGAATACTGTGGGAAGATCTTAGGTGTGCCATGAAAATGATTAAAAGATCATTAATTAAATCGTTTTCAAAAGATATTCTAAGCACAATAAGTATATGCTTTTCTTTCTCTCTCTCTCTCTCTCTTTTTTTTTTTTTTTTTGATGGACATGATTAAAGTGTGCAGCACAAGTTTAACTGTAGGCTCAAGTGTGCCATGAGATAAAAAAAGCTGAAAGATCCTGGCATGGACCATCGGGAAACCTTGGCTGAGGGCTCTAAGGTGAACATTGTCAGGATGTGAAGTGAGTTCTCAGAATAGATCCCAGAGGGCCACTAATCAAGTGGCCTGGGGATGACCAGGTTATTTTTCTACATTCAGGAGGGTAGGTATGTAACGAGCTCTATGAATAAATTTCAATGATCCTTTTTACATATATATAAAGCTCCACCTGAGCGCCACCTCCAGTCAGCTCAGCTGGGGCATCAGATTTTCATAGGAGCAGGAAGCCTCCTGTACCCTGTGCATGCAGAGGACCGAGGCTGCGGCTTCTTATGAGAATCTCATGCCTGATGATCTGAGGTGGAGCTGAGGAGGTGATGCTAGCCCTGGAGAGAATGATCATTAGCAAATTAGCAGAGAGGCTTGACCGCACAAAGACCATAATGAATCAATTGCTTGCCTGCGCACATCAAAACCATCTCCCAGCCCCAGTCCATGAAAAAAGAAATGTCTTCTGCGAAACCAGTTCCTGCTGCCAAAAATGTTGGGGATGGCTGATTTATACCACGACCTGCCCCACTGTACGTGGTCCCGTCTTTAAAAACCCATGAAATCCTTAATCGCCCATAAGCCCATTAGCTGGACAGACAGATCTGAGGCAGCTTCTCTCCTTCTCCTGATAAAACATCTTTCATATTAAAAATTCCATTCTTCTGCAGTGATCCTTGTTGCCTCAGTAACTGAGTTTTTGTGTGAACAACTGGACAGAGGCTGAAACCCCCTTGTGGTTTCAATAACAAGTATAGGGAATTATGAAGAATTGGAAATTTCCAGATGTATTTGGAACTCAACTAAAACAAGGGAGCCTCAAACACATGAGTCAGTGTCCACACAACAGTTCGATGGGGAATTGTATAGTAACAGAGTAGTTCAGGGGCTAGGGCGCTGGGCCACATACACTGGGGCTGGCAGGTTCAAACCCAGCCTGGGCCTGCCAAACAACAATGACAACTACAACCAAAAATAATAATAATAATATATACATATACATATATGCACATATGATAAGATTAATTAGCACAATCCTTAAAAAACAAAATAAAAAAGATAAAGATATCCAGTTAATAGTCTCAAATCTATAACTTCAATTTCTGGCCACCTGAGTTCTACCTTTGTCTAACAGACAAAGCAAACGGACTCTTGCACATTCCAAGCTCCCTCTTAAGATAATGCCTCCTACGCAAAAATAAAGCAACAAAGACTCATTCCCCTAGCACAGTTCACCATCTTGCTATTAGGTAAGATGCTGAGGACCTGGGACCTAAAAGAGCTGGTCCAAAATGACGGGATGTAGTTCAGAGTGTCATAGACATGCAGAGCTTGGTTCAAGGTCGTCTGCAGGGGTCCAAGTTATGCTATCACTGGCTTCATGGATCACTGCTCCTAAGTAATAGATTTGCCATTCAACGACTTTCCCCTGAGAACAAAAGAAACCTTATTTGAAAGTGGAAATCTCTGGTATACGGAAGATAAGTGCTCAAGATAATATGGACTCAGAAAGAGCTATAGCTGGGTCCTCCTTGGGAAAGAAGGAAGGATGGGAGAGGTGTAGCTCTCAGGAGCGACAGCCTGGTGACAGGCATGGAGGATGCCGCCCGCACACGTCCCTTCTCTGTGTGTCTTGAAGGTTTGTCTTGCCTTCTTTTTTCCCATCTGTAGGCACAGATGTGCCTCTAAAGCACAGCATGCTTCTTATTTCTCTAATTTGAGAAGGAATACGGTTTCCCCTACTGTCTCCTTCGCTACATAAACCAAGGTGTGAACATGGGCTCTTTATACGATGTTGTAAAGTCACCACTTTGGAAACATTTGCACAAAAGGAAATACTGCTCGCTACCCCCACGTAGCCAATGGATCTACTGGCTTCATGTACAGTTTTAAATGGCCAAATCCCCCCAGCCCCAAGGAATGCTCACCAACGAAGAATTAAAGAATCTTCGAGATGGAAAACCAAAATTAAAATGTTCTATCATAAAAATAAGCATAGCTCCTTCACACACACACAAGAGTAGCAGTTTCTCAATATGAAAATAACTGCAGCCTGGGGGGGAGGAGTGTTAACCCTGTGCTTTTACACATTTTCATGAAAAGAAAAAATACCTAGGCTGTGCGTTAACAAGGACGGTGAAAAACTCTCTTGCCCTCTGGAGGGAAAGACTTTGGTAATCTGTGAATCCAAGTGGTAAGTAAATCTTGCATTTACCTTAATCTATTTTAATACATAATTACTATGTTTAGTGAGGCAGCCTCTCTCACTGGCAATGAGGAAACTGCAAGGGTGAATTAAATTTAGTCATGGAACTTAAAGAAATCAACCGATGGGTGGAGCTTCCTCTTTTCCCACCAATCACCTGCTTTCTCCTCCTTCCCCCTCCTCCTTCCCCTTCCTCCTCTCCCCTCAGCCCCCAGGCAATGAAGGAACATCTGTTCTGAATCAGGCACTGAGCTGGACACAAGAGGATCCGGTCCTTACCCTCAAGGGCCTTCAGTTATATGCCCAGCAGAGGATTAAACACGGTAAGTTTTATATCAGAGACTGGATCCGACCACCACCACCACCAAGAGGAGGAAACCACACGTCCATCCGTTACTGCACACAATGAACTGGTAGATGTGATCTTATGTTTCCTCCTTTGAAAAAGTTTCACTCGTACCTTTGTTTAAAAGTCTAGACAAGTTTTCAGACTCTGGGCCTTCAAGTTACCTCCTTGGATGTGCATAGAGTTCCAGAAAACTGCAGTTATTGAATCTTACCTTATGATAACACCTAAAATACGCAGCGCGTTCGTCAGAAAATTTCTCCAGTCTCTTTGGGCCTTTGCTGGAAGCTTTCTTGAACACTAACCAGCATCGCTGATAAATCTGGAAGGAAAGGCAAAAAGCACCTCAGCATCTCCACAGACAGACATTGGCATTCAGTGTTTTCTTTCTGAGGTTTTTCACCTGTAAAATATAATCCAGAAACGTAACACTGCTCTGGGAAAAGAAAATTTTAAACATCAAGCTGTTTCCACCATGGGTGTATTTTGTCATTCAGATAATTACTGGAATCAAAAGAAAATAAATATTGGAAGTTCAGTTTCTTCCTGTTTTGATAACAATCACTAGGCACATTTCAAAACAAGGCCCAGGGACCAAAGTCCCCCAATCAGCACAAATAACACAGGCAATTCATGGGACATGCTACAATGTCAAGTGCAATTAAATCAGAAAATAGACTTGGTCTATGCTAAAGACATCACTGCCCGTTCTACAGTGAGATGGCTACCGTGTGTTATGAAATATTCCTCATAGCTGGTGCTGAGGAGCTGGGCCAGTCACTAGTCCACCCAGCTAACAATTAGCTGATCAACACCAGCCAGATTCTTGCTTAGAAGGTTCAATCCAGAGGCTCAAAGATTATTACCAGGGGTGTGAATCTGAATTGAGAGGACAATGCTTGCCAGGTTGTGGTCATGTCAAATCATATCCACAACTGCCAGACAAGGAAACCTACTACAAGAGCTAGATTGTTTCAGCTCCGGGTTGAAGGTTGACATTGTAGTTCTGTCATCTTTCAATTCATAACTTTGAGATCTAGCCTTTCCTCTGGTCTTCTTGGAAACCATCTGTATCCCCAGGAACCCATGACCACTAACATCCTTCCAACTCTTAATGGTCCTCGCTTGAATGGAGACCTGATTCTAGCAGCCCAACTCCCCCGATGGGATGACCAACATAAACGATATCAGTACATTAGAAATATTAATAATGCCAAAGAGAGAAAATGCAAAGAGCTAATGAGTGTATGAACAACAACATTCTGCAAAATGAGATTTTTTTTAAACCTAAAAATTAGTGAAGGTAGAAAAGAATGATAATATTCCCTGAAGGCAAAGATCTAACTGGCATCGTCCTCTACTGGTGCTCCTTAAAGGGCATTTGACAACAAGTAACTTTTCGACAACAAAAAAGAATAGAAATTTATTCTTAGGAAAAAGCACAAAACGCAGCCAACATTGAAAAAGGATTCATATTCAAGGGCAGATGAGTGGGTGCTGCTCAGCCCTGATTGTCTCTGATCCTTAAATCACCTTCTAAACACCACATACATGCGGTTTCATAGATTCAACGTATAACTAAATCTCTGAGCTAATAAGAAAAAATAAAACAATGTTTGCATAAAGCATTTGGTCGTTCAAACCCTTGTTGATTTAAAATACCTCTTATAATTTGGTCAGTACCTGGCAAAGGGCTGAGGGATTCGGGGTGGCTGCTCCTTGTCAACAGTGTATAAAGAGCTCCATTTTATTCCTCTGTCCCATCAACCTGAGCATAAATTAATTGCTTTGTTCAGAATGCTAAAAAGAAAATGGAACCTGGGGAGGGCCTGTGGCTCAGTGGGTAGGGCACTGGCACCGTATACGGAGAGTGGCGGGTGCCCTGGCCAAACTGCAACAAAAAAATAGCCGGGCATTGTGGTCGGCACCTGTAGTCCCAGCTACTCAAGAGGCTGAGGCAAGAGAATCGCCTAAGCCCAGGAGTTGGAGGTTGCTGTGAGCTGTGATGCCGCAGCACTCTACCGAAGGCAGTAAAGTGAGACTCTGTCTCTACAAAAAAAGGAAAAAGAAATGAAACCCACTCCATTCTGAAGTTTAGCTCTGAACACAGTGAGATATGTATCTGATCCCACAGAACGTATAATAAAATGTTGGCAATATGATTTATGATAATGATGACTGCTCGGTCTTCAACAATAAGGAATAACAAAGTAAATTATAACACTCTATAATATGTAATGTAATATATGATACTGATCTATAGATCTATACCAATATCGGTCATTATTAAATTTAGTAAATATGGTACAATTAATACAGCAAATATGTACCACATGGTATGATATATATACTACATGTTTATAATACACATTATAAATAAATATATAAGATAATACAAGTAATCATTATATAATAATATAATAATGTAAATAGTATACATGATTTTTATATAGTAAATTATACTACATCTATGATACATGTTATCCATTTATAGGATAATATAAGTAGTTCATTTGAAACACGTTACAGAAGGAATTTCTAATGCCATGAGAAAGTGTTCATAATGTTATGTGGGGAAAAAGAATATAATTATTTACGTCAAGATCTCCACTGTACTCAAAATGCATCTTAAAAAAGCAGAAAACATATGAAAATATTGACGATGTTTTCTCTGGGTCATGAGAATAAGTTCTGGGGTCTGACTGTTCATTTTTGCTTCATGTAATAGAAGTTAAAACTGTAAATTAAGTAAGAGAGAATTCTATGATTTCTTAAATACCCAGAGGTACTAGTAGAATTAAAATCAATTCTGTTGGTTTTTATCTTGCCCAGTTATTAATCCGCCAAAGAATATAAAAACATGGAGACAAAGGTGGACTGGCCAATTCAGAGGGGGAAAAGTAGCCTTTTCAGCAAATGGTGCTGAAGCCATTAGATATTCACATGCATAGGCAAAAAAAAAATAAAAAAAAAAAAAAACAAGAAAAAACCTTGACTTAAACATTAAAGCACCCATTTTATAAAAAAGGAAAAGTACCTGAAAAGAGATAAAAACTAGAAAACTGTTAGAGGAAAGAAGAAAATACCCAGAATTTTTATATGGACCTGAGACCACAAGTACCGATGGAAGGAAATTCTGACAAACTGGACCTCATCAAATCAACAGCTTTTGCTACATGAACAATGCTGTGAAGAGGATGAAAAGACAAGTGAGAGACTGGGAGAAAATCTCTGCAAATCACGCATCTGATGAAGAGCTAGTCTCAGAGACAGATGAGCAACTCTGAAATCTCAGCAGTTAAAAAAACATTATACAACTTACAAAAGACATGAACAGACATTTCACCAGAGAGGGTGCACAGATGGTCAGGAAGCACAAGGGGAGATGTTCGACATCATTACTAAGAAGGGTTAAGTGTCGATTAAAACCACAGTAAGCTATCACTACACATCTATCAGATTGGCTGGAACAATAATAATAATGATAATAATAATAAAACCACCACCAACTGCTGACAAGGATGTGAGAAAAGTGGATCACTCATATATTACTGGTGGGAAGGAAAAATGATATAGTCACTGTGAAAAACAGTGATGGTTTCTTAAAAAAACTGGCTCGGCACCCATAGCACAGTGGTTATAACACCAGCCACATACGCCAAGGGTGGCGGGTTCGAACCCAGCCCAGACCCGCTAAACAACTGCAACAAAAAAAATAGCCAGGCGTTGTGGCAGGCACCTGTAGTCCCAGCTACTTGGAAGGATGAGGCAGGAGAATCACTTAAGCCCAAGAGTTTGAGGTTGCTGTGAGCTGTGATAGCATGGCACTCTACTGAGGGCGACATAATGAAACTCTATCTCAAAAAAAAAAAAAAAACTAAACAAGCAACATACAACTAGCAGTTTTATGTTGGAATTCATTCCACAGAATTCATTCATTTTTAGGAATTCATCCTAGAGAAATGCCAGCATATATGGACACACACACACACAAATACACCAACTCTGTATGTGAATGTTCAAAGCTTTATTCACAATAGGAAAACCTTGGAAACTACCGAGCATACTATATGTGCTCCAGCAGGAGAAGGAGTTAACAAACCATGGTCCAGCCGCACCGTGAGATACTACTTAGTGATAAAAAGATATAAACTATTGATATCAGCAACCACTTGAATAAATCTCTAGATCATTATGCTGAATGAATATAAAAAGCAGAACCTAACGCTGCCTGACTGCATTATCTTAGCACATGACAAAATTACAGAAATGGAAAACAGATGTGTGTCTGTGAGGTTAGGGATCTGTGAGGTTAGGGAGGTGGGGTGGGGGTGAAGGGCACGTTTATACAAGGTTAACAGGAGAAACCCTCATGGTGAGGGAACTTCTCCACCTTGATCACCTTGATGCCCAAATCTTGGTTCTGATATGTATTAGAGTTTTGGACAACTACCAGCGACACTAGTAATATTTCTCACAATTGAATATGAGTCCAAAATGACCTCAAAATAGATGTTCAATTGATTTTTTAAGATAGAAAGATGTTGAGATATTTAACCAAGATTTTAAAATTGCAGCCTAATCTTATAACTCTCATCCCCATTTTTCTCTAGCCTTTTTTTTTTTTTTTTTTGGTGGGGGGACAGGAGATCACAGTCTAATTAAACACCAGACTGAATAGCTTTAAGAAGGCAAGTTACAAGAGCCATTGGTAAAAGTTCAAGCACAAAATCCTTTTCAGGGTGGAGATTCAGCCGTGGAAATTAACATTCTCAGGACTGTGATTGGAGAAGAGAGTCTTATTCACGTCTTGCTTAGGTCTGAATAACAGATGAGACAATTGGGTCCCTTCAAATTTCACCAGCACCAGAGGATTGTAATTACAGTGGGAATAAGCCGTCAGTCTGCTTGTTCAAATAAAGGATGTGGAAAATAGGTTTCTGATTGTCATGCTATTACTGGCGACCTCTTGCTTTTGCACATACCCTGAGAATGTGTTCTGAAAATGAACGTGTTTAAAGGTATGCAAAAAACCTGCCCAGGAGGAGAAAAAAAGATTTTCACCACAGAAGAGGTTTCAGATTTCCTAATTATGCCCTCAGTTTTCAGATGTAATCTTCTTCTTTTTTTTTTTTAAGACAGAGCCTCAAGCTATCCCCCTGGGTGAGTGCCCTGGCATCTCAGCTCACAGCAACCTCCAACTCCTGGGCTCAAGCGAGTCTCCTGCCTCCGCCTCCCAAGTAGCTGGGACCACAGGCGCCCGCCACAACGCCCGGCTATTTTTGGGAATTTCCAGTTTTGACCCCTCTGTATTAAGTTTGG